GGTACGGGGGCAACACTGAGGGTTGCGATCCGTTGCCGGACACGGAAAAAGACAAAAGACAAAAAAAAAAAAAGAAGGCTTTAAAAAAAACAAACTAGAGATTATACCAAGTTTGTCTAAAACAGACAATAGAAAATGTGATCCAAAGTATGTTTTATTTCTATAAAGTATGTTTTCCATAATTAGGAGATTACTTAATACATTTTCATTTATATATATATTTATTTATTTATTTATTTTGGTGGCTGGCCAGTATGGGGATCTGAACCCTTGACCTTGGTGTTACAACACCAAATTTTTTTTTTTTTTTTTTAAGATGACTGGTAAGGGGATCTTAACCCTTGATTTGGTGTTTTCAGCACCAGGCTCTCCCAAGTGAGCTAACTGGCCATTCCTATATAGAGATCTGAACCCATGGCCTTGGTGTTATCAACACCACCCTCCCAAGTGAGCCATGGGCCGGCCCCTACAGCACCAAGTTCTAACCAACCAACTGAGCTAACCAGCCAGCCCCTAATTAAGACATTTTTAGACAACAGTTACTTTATAGCTACCATTTATTGAGTAACTACCAGGTGCTAAATCCTGTGCAGAGTGTGACCTGCTTTCAAATTTAATCTACTAAAGTGGTAGTATCCTCATTTTACAGATTAGGAAAATGAAATTTGAGTTAATTTTCTCAGGATCAAATAACGGGAGAGTGAAGAGCCCAGAGGTGTTTGATCACTAGACTGTACTGCATCCTAAGACCCAAAGATAAAATTTCCTGCCTCCTATGCCCCCACCTGTTACAGAAACTGTTTAGAAGGAATCCAGATTGGGCTGGCCCGTGGCTCACTTGGGAGAGTGCGGTGCTGATAACACCAAGGCCACGGGTTCGGATCCTATATAGGGATGGCCGGTTTGCTCACTGGCTGAGCGTGGTGCTGACAACACCAAGCCAAGGGTTGAGATTCCCTTACCGGTCATCTTTTAAAAAAAAAAAAAGGAATCCAGATCTTCTGACTCCCAATTCGGTGTCCATTTGACAAGCAGAAAGAAAAAATGGAAAGGCATTTCATACTACACTGTAAAGGGTATATTGATTGGGAGCAGAATGCTCATGGCAAGAAAAAACATGAAAATGGTTGTGTGTCCTGTTTTCTTAGCAATGTTATATTAAAAATCTCCCTTCTTAGAAATCTTTTAAAGCAGTATTTTTTTTTTGCATTGGGTATAGATCAAAGGGCATGTTTCTCCATAGGGGATTTATCAAAATCTTCAGGTAGGGGAATGTAGTTTGATAAAACAATTTCTAAAATTACCATTGCTTTGTCAGGATATGTAATTTATTTTAGAATATAATGGAGAGCATGAGGTTTTTTAAAAGTATCAAAAAATGTTATCAGCACCATGCTCTAACCAAGTGAGCCAATCAGCCAGCAGTAAAATATGTTATAAATTTGCTTCAGGAGCTGGTGGTTAGCTTACTCAGTTAGAGCACAGTGCTGCTCACAGCAAGGTCAGGGGGTTCAGATGCCCACACTGGCCAGCTGCCAAAAAAAATTTTTTTTTGCTTAAGAAATATAATGGACATTTTGAATTAGGAATTAAAAATGTAAAAATTTAAACAATATGAAAGTATGGAAAGGAAGGAATGGCTGGCTTGTTTGCTCAGTTGGTTAGAACACAGCCATATAACACTAAGATCACTGGTTTGGACTACTGTACTGGCCAGCAGCACAAAAAAAGAAAGTTTTTCTCTCCCAAAGATAACCACTGTTAACCATTTAAAAAGCAAACAAACAAAAGGGAACCACTGTTAATTTCAAACCAGTTTTACAAGGGCCGGCCCCGTGGCGCACTTGGGAGAGTGCAGCGCTTGAGAGCGCGGCGGCGCTCCCGCTGCGGTTCGGATCCTATATGGGGATGGCCGGTGCACTCACTGGCTGAGCGCGGTGCGGGTGACACCACGCCAAGGGTTGCGATCCCCTTACCGGTTGCGATCCCCTTACCGGTCACAAAAAAGGACAAAAAAAAAACAAAAAAAACTAGTATTACAACATGGGTCAGAGAGGGAAGCATAAACATACCTATATAATATTTTTTGTTCTATTTGCGTTTCTTTGGTAGAAAATTTTAAAGATATCTTTCTATATCAATACATGAGATTTATTTCATTTGACCTGCTGAATATTTTTTCTGCCACTATGCATATAGTTGATTCAAAACTTAATGCATTAAAAATCAAAAAAACTTAAAAAAAAAAGAGAGAAAACAAAACTTAATGCATTGAACAAGATATATCAAGTACAATTTTTGTACAATGAAGTTATTGCTTTTTCTTCATTGTAGCTGTCCAGTCATTTCGCTGCTATTCTCATGGGTCAAATGAGACAGATGAGGAGTTTGATGCTCGCTGGGTGACATACTTCAACAAGCCAGATATAGATGCCTGGGAATTGCGTAAAGGTAATTGGAACATAGACATATTTTTCTATTTTGGTGTATAAATATGAACTATTTCCACTACTTTGTTGCAAGCAACTATTTTGAAAACACACATTATGTAAACTGGTTACCATAATGCAACTTGCAGTTAGGGAAGTTTAAAGCTTCTGTAGTGTTTTCCATAAAGCAGGAATTTAAAGCAGGCACTATTGACATTTTGGGCCATATAATTCTTTGTTGTAAGGGGCTTTCTTTTGCATTACAGGATGTTTAGCACCATCCTTGGCCTCTGCCCTCTAGATACATACACATACACACAAACACAGTTGTGACAACCAAAAATGTCTCCAGACATTGCCCAAAATCACTCCTGATTGAAAACCACTGCTATAGTGATAGGGCTAGGTGAGCAAGAGTTAACATGTTTGTACCTTTCAGGTAATTTACACAAGCAGTCATTTGGTTCTCCTTCCCTCTGGGTAATGGTTTGGGGTTTTTTTAATACTCAGTTATGAATTGTCTTGCCCTGAATAAGTGTCCAGTCTAAGTAAGCTAGAACTTGTTTTTCCTAAATTTGCAGGTTGACATTTAACAAGTATCGTTAATGAAACTAGTCACTAATTTTAAGTGTAGGGTAATTTATCTCGGACCAAGAATTCAGTCTCTATGACTGTATTCTAGCATTATATTTGTTGATGTTGTTTATTTAAATGTTTTTTTATTTTTTGGCAGCTGGCCGGTACATGGATTGAACCCTGGACCTTGGTGTTATCAGCACCATGCTTTAACAAACTGAGCCAACCAGCAAGCCCCATGTTTGAATATTTTAAAATAATAAAAGCAAGAAACCTAAGTGCTTTAAATTTCTCTGCAGGAATATAATGACTCCATTTTGCTACAACCAGGGAAATTCTTACTGAATAATCTTGAGTAGAAGTAATGAAAACAACAGTAATTCTACGTTTGCATTAAGAATCTTAAATTTTATGATTTGTCATTTTGTGTAGATACAAAAGTAATCATGCCAAATCATTTTCTAGTTGAATTTTTATGAGTCTGTGCACTAACGTTTCTCTATCATATCTCCTTATGTCCTCATTTGGGCTTCATTAACTGTCCTTCAGGATTTTTTTTTTTAAGATGACCAGTAAGGGGATCTTAACCCTTGGCTTGGTGCTGTCAGCACCACGCTCAGCCAGTGAGCAAACCGGCCATCCCTATATAGGATCCAAACCCATGGCCTTGGTGTTATCAGCACCACACTCTCCTGAGTGAGCCACAGGCTGGCCCCTAAATCAGATCTGTTTTAAAGCATCCGAAATAAGTACATTGTACAAAGGGTTAAAGATACTAGTTTAAAATGACTCTCTTTATTGAATAGAAAGCAGCCCATTATTTTGAAAGTAGTGTTAACATTTAAGGAAATACTTGGGTTTTTTCCCTTCAGTCTTCATGGTGTTGTGTAGTTCTTTCTTTTCACTAATTGACTGTAAGATCCACTGTGATCTTATCATCTAGAATTTGTTAAAAATACATTCTCTGATTTTATAGATAATAGAGGCCCAAACAGGTAACATCCCACGTTTGTGATTCATTAAAAATATAGATAACTAGCTGGACATGATGGCTTGTACTTGTAGTCCCAGCTACTTGGGAGGCTGGGGCAAGGGGGATCACTTGAGCCCAGGAATTCTGGGCTGTAGTGTGCTATGCGAATCAAGTGTCCATACTAAGTCTGGCATCAGTATGGTGACCTCCCAGGGGCAAGGGACCACCAAGTTGTGTAAGGAGGGGTGAATCAGCCCAGATTGGGTCAGAACTCCTATGCTGATCAGTACAGGATGGCGTCCGTGAGTAGCTACTGCACTGCAGCCAGGGTAACACAGTGAGACCCTGTCTTTAAAAAATACATATATAGATAGATATAGATACAGATGCCGATTGTAGTATCTGATTTAAACTAAATTGTAGTTTAAATGAGAATATTCCTGGTTGACATGGCCCCTCTTTTTAATTTGACAGGGATGAACACGCTTGTTGGCTATGATCTGGTTCCAGAACCCAAAATTATTGATGCTGCTTTGCGGGCATGCAGACGATTAAATGATTTTGCTAGTGCAGTTCGCATCCTAGAGGTTGTTAAGGTCAGTGAAATTACAATACTAAAATTGTACTGGAAGCCGGTGGGTCATTGATCAGGTATCAGCATATTCTGTGTTTTTGAATATGTTAAAAAACCTAAATTAGTTCTTATATAAGTTGAGGGAATATACATTGCAGTTACAATCTTTCTAGAAGACAGTTTGGCAACATTTATCCAAGGCCTTAAAATTGTGGATGATTGGGCCGGCCCGGTGGCGCACTGCTACAGTGCGCCGCTTCGCTCCCGCCGAGGGTTTGGATCCCACATACAGACCGGCCGCTCACTGGCTGAGCGAGGTGCGGGCGCAACACCGAGGGTTGCGATTCCGTTGCTGGTCCCGGTCCGGTACGGCGCGACACTGAGGGTTGCGATCCGTTGCCGGTCACGAAAAAAGACAAAAAAAAAAAGGAAAAATTGTGGATGATAACCTTTTGTTCAGCAGTTCCATTTGAGAATTGTTTTTTTTTTTTTTTTAAAGATGACCGGTAAGGGGATCTTAACCCTTGACCTGGTGTTGTCAGCACCACACTCTCCCGAGCGAGCCATGGGCCGGCCCGAGAATTGTTTTTTTTTGGCTGCTGGCCAGTATGGGGATCTGAACCCTTGACCTTGGTATTTCCAGCACCATACTCTCCCAAGTGATCTAACTGGCCAGCCTGAGAATTTATCTTAAGGAAATAATTAAGGGTGTACAAAGGTTTATCTACAAAGAGTTTTTGCCATTTTGCTATTTGTAATATGAAATTAAATATTATTAGTGGCTCCTTAAGTGCTCCCAGAACTGGTTATTACTACACAACTATAGTATTGTAGAAATGTGTTTGACATTAAACATATTTGTGTAATTTTTGTTCTATTTGTTTTTGGAAGTTAATTTTATTACATGAAGATAGTACACAAAATACATTCACCATGACTAGAAAGGTAGGACCATTGAAGGACCAAATGTAGGACTTATAAAAATATGGAACGCTTCATGAATTTGTCATCCTCGTGTAGGGACCAGGCTAATCTTCTCTGTATCGTTCCAATTTTAATGTATGTGCTGCCAAAGCCAGCGCTATTTCTGTCATATTAACTGGAGAACATTATGAAACAGTTTTTGTGGTGTGAACTCTGCTTATTTTTTAAAATACAGATAGATAAATGAAAATGTAGGAAGGTATATACTAATTTCCCTCACTCTTGTTTGGTTATAGCTTCTGTTTTTTTCTGTAATGAACATACAGAATAATACACTACATTTAAAATAAGAATTTTAATTTAATTTAATTTATTAATTATTTATTTTCTTTGCTTTTATTTTTTCTAAGAATTTTTTTTTTTTTTTTTTTTTAAAGATGACCGGTAAGGGGATCTTAACCCTTGACTTGGTGTTGTCAGCACCACGCTCAGCCAGTGAGCAACCAGCCATCCCTATATGGGATCCGAACCCGTGGCCTTGGTGTTATCAGCACCACACTCTCCCGAGTGAGCCACAGGCCGGCCCTTTCTAAGAATTTTAATTTTGAAAAATACAGTTAAGGAGACTTAGAATTTGTTGAAGGCAGGAGAATAGTTTGGCACTTTCTTAATTCATTTGACTTATATTTGCCTCTGGGGAACCTTGGGACAATACAGATATAATTATATGTTATGGCGAGTATTTATCAAAACTAGTATATATGAATAAACAAGCCAAAGTGCTTTTTTTTTTTTTTAATGTAGCCCTGCTACACACAAGGCCTCAAAAAATTGGTTTAAGGCTCAGAGTTGTTGCTGTCCGCAGAAATATTTAGTAACAGGTGAAAGTTTTATACAATATGAAGAGAAACCAGATTATCAAAGTGCTTCTTCTATACTCTCCCACAACACGCTGCTGACACCAAATGTGTGGGGATTTCTCCCCATCAGTAAGCATTTCTCCCCAATCAGTTCTGCAGAAGATATCAACCGGGTGTCCTCCAATTCAATTTTGACACTGCTATAGCGTTAGATCCCACAGGTGGAGGTCTTAGTCCCACAAGACTGCCCCTCACTTCTGATGCCAATCTCAGGCCCTAGGTTGTTTTACCTGTGCTTCTGACCAACCAACTATAAATCAGGGTTCCTATGATCCTCTCCTAGGGTTAGATTAATTTGCTAAAGTGGCTCACGGAACTCAACGAAATATTTTACGTATTATAAAGGATGTTGCAAAAGATACAGATGAAGAAATGCATAGGGTAAGGTATGGAAGAAGGGGTGGGGAGCTTCTGTGCCCTTCCCGGGCATGCCACCCTCTAGGAACCTGCATATGTTCAGCTATCTGGAAGCTTTCCGAATCCTGTCCTTTTGGGGTTTTATGGAAGTTTCATTACGTAGGCACAATTGAAATATGAACAAACCATGTAGAAATGTGATTGAACAAAAATCGTGTGATCTAATACTAATAGACTGAGTGGGGAAACCCAGCAAGGGCTGTTTATTCAGATTCTTCTTGGCCTCTCTGTGCAGCATTCCTTGCTTCTGGGTATAGGACAGGACCCCTTCTGAATTTCCTTTTTTTTTTTCTTCCTTTTCTGTGGCTGGCTGGTCCAGGGATCCAAACCCTTGACCTTGGTGTTATAACACCATGCACTAACGAGCTGAGCTAACTGGCCAGTTCCTGAATTTCATTATGGCCAGCTCCAAGACAGAGATAGGGGAAGATTAGTGTCCTGCCTTGAGGAGCCAGGAACCATGGATGAAAACCTACATGTTTATATATCATAATATCATAAGAAACCTAGAATTTGGTGAAGACAGAAGAATAGCAGCTTAGACTAGTCAGTTAGCTCAGTTAGAGTGTGGCCTGGTAACACCAAGGTCAGTGGTTCAGTTCCTCGTACTGGCCAGCCACCCAAAAAAAAGAATAGTAGCTCAGCACCTTCTTAGTTCATTTGACTTTTTAATATTTGCCCTTCAGGAACCTTGTGACAATACAGATGTAATTACAGGTATAATTATATGTTATAGTGTATATTTGTCAAAACTCTCTTGCCCTGGACATATGTATTCTCTAAGTGCAACTCCATGAAAAGACATGGTCTGTAAGAAAGAAATTCAAGATCTGTCAGGGGTAAAGTGTGACATTACATTATCTTTAATAGGTAAGATAATTAAGGGTTCTGTAGGCTATCAATCCATTCGGCACTGGTAGTTAATTCAGTTAGGGTCTCAAATTGGAGGCAAATTAAAAAACTTTTCATGTGTTAACTTAATTATTCCTGTTGTCTGCTGGGCATGTTTAATTACCTTCACAAAATTCTGTCATCACCACCTTCTTTTCCAGTAATTCCAGGCTTTTAAATGGTTTTTCTGGATTTAGTCTAATTGTCTTACTTATTCTCAAGGTATCTTAAAAACCTACCTTGAACAGTGCCTATTTAAGTTGTCCTCTTTACTGAACACATGTGTTAACTTAAAACTAGATGACCCACTGGGCCGAGCCCGTGGCGCACTTGGGAGAGTGCAGCGCTGGGAGCGCAGCAGCGCTCCCGCCGCAGGTTCGGATCCTATATAGGGATGACCGGTGCGCTCACAGCACTCACTGGCTGAGCGCGGTGTGGCCGGTCTCAAAAAGGACAAAAAAAAAAAAAAAAACTAGATGACTCAGGCTGGCCAGTTAACTCACTTGGCTAGAGTGTAGTGCTGATAACACCAACATCAAGGGTTCAAATCCCTGGACCGGCCAGCTGCAAAAAAGGAAAAAGAAAGAAAAGAAAAGCTTTCTTAAGTTCAGTTTGTTAATAGATATGGCTTTTCAGAGAGTTAAATATGAATATTCTCTTTGCCATCAGGACAAAGCAGGACCTCATAAGGAAATCTACCCCTATGTCATCCAGGAACTTAGACCAACTTTAAATGAACTGGGAATCTCCACTCCAGAGGAACTGGGCCTTGACAAAGTGTAAATCCCCATGGGTAAGCAACACACCACTGAACAAGGCAGGAGAAGAATCCAGGGAGGGGCGGGTGGGGAAATTTAGAAAGTACCAATGATGATAAATTTAAGGAGCTAAAGTTGTTGTTTCTAGTTGTTATTGTTCTCTTACTGGTATAAAGGCAAGTAAAAACCTCTTTAATTAAAAAATATGTATATAAGATATTTAAAGCATAAAGAATACTATATGGAATAATATAGTGAACCTATGTACCCGCACCTAGATTTTTAGATATTATTTTACCACATTGGTTTTGGTTGTGCCCCCTTTCCCCCGAAGAAATGACTGGTTTCACGTAGAGTTGGAGCCTTCTGTGTGCCCTTCCTTAATTACAGTCCTTTATCCTCTCAACCTATTAGTAATCCAGTGCATACAAGGTGCTCATCATACATGTATTTGTTTATATTTTATTTTATTTTATTTTTTATTTTTTTTTAAAAGATGACCGGTAAGGGGATCTCAACCCTTGGCTTGGTGTTGTCAGCACCACGCTCAGCCAGTGAGCAAACCGGCCATCCCTATATGGGATCCGAACCCGTGGCCTTGGTGTTATCAGCACCGCACTCTACCGAGTGAGCCACGGGCCGGCCCTATATTTTATTTTTAACAGCAGGGTTATATTTGATGCTTTTGTTTTTGTGTATCCAAGTTAGAATTTTTATAAGACAGAAAATTTATAAGCAGTAACTCATTTTGTTTTTAATTTAATAAACACTTATAGTGTATATAGCTCTTACTGTGCCAGGCGCTGTTTTAAGTGCTCTGTAAGTAAATATTACCTCATTTAATCCTCAACAGTCCTGCGAGGTAGTTAAAATTGTTATAATTATTCCCATTTTACTGTTTTACTAATGAGGAGTCTGACTCACCTTATCTAAGGTCACACAGCCATTGATGTGAGCCCTGGAAGTCTGGCTTACTGGTGCCATGCATCTGGTATCTTATAAAACATAAAAGTTTCAATAAGAGTAGAAGGAGCTAATATTAGATCCCTTAGAAGATAAAGAAGCAAAGATCCTGGTTAGGATATTGTTCATCAACACCCATTGAAACACATATAAAAAAAACCTCAGTCCCTGTATTGGCCAGCTGCCAGGAAAAAATAACAAAAACCCTCAGAACTCAATGATCCCTACATTCAGTCTTCCTACTGACAAACTAAGCAGAAAATGCCTAAGGTCTTGTAATCCACTTTTGGGATCTCTTTTTAAAGCTTGCTTTAAAGCAGTGGTCTTTTCATTTTACCTTCGCTCACCCCTCACCAGCACAACCTCCCTGAAGTCAGATAGCTCTTTTTTATTTTTTATTTAAAAAAGGTGACCAGTAAGGGGATCTTAACCCTTGACTTGTCGCTCACCCCTCACCAGCACAACCTCCCTGAAGTCAGATAGCTCTTTTTTATTTTTTATTTTAAAAAGGTGACCAGTAAGGGGATCTTAACCCTTGACTTGGTGTTGTCAGCACCATGCTCCGGCCATCCCTATATAGGAATCCGAACCCATGGCTTTGGTGTTATCAGCACCACACTCTCCCAAGTAAGCCACGGGCCGGCACCAGATAGCTCATTTTTTATAATGCATGGAAAAGTTTTCTTGTGTGTTATTAAAGATTTTTGTGAGTACCTGGAGAAAACTAGGGGTTCAGAATAGAGGATTTCCTAGTTATATTTTTTGTTGTTTTATTTTGTTTTGTTGCAGCTGGCCAGTACAGGGATCAAATCCTGGACCTTGATGTTGTCAGCACCACGCTCTAATCAACTGAGCTAACGGGCCAGCCCTCCTAGTTATATTTTTGAAGCTCTTGTCTGTGGTTTATTCTTTACTGAACTCTTGAGAGGTTGTTTAAACTCTTAGGCTTAATTTTAATTTTACCAAGTATTATTCCAAGGGGTTCAGAAGATCTTTGTAACATAGGATATATTCTAGCTGCAGTAACATATTTAAAAATTTTTTTTTTTCTTTTAAGGCAACTACCAAATACTTTTCTGTTTGGAAAAGACTACCCCAGTAATTACCAGTGGTATAAATGATGAAAAAATCACAAAGCTACTCCCTTGTGAGTTGTCTGTAGGCAGGATTAAGAGCAGCAAAGGCTATAGAGAGACAGTGATTTCTCTGGATTTTTGCTCTAAAGTTTATTTTTAATAAGATTTCTACCTTTATTCTTTTCTGGCTAACTCTGTGTGTTCTCTTACAGATGGATTTATTGCTATGACTACTTGATTTTAAAGTCACCTGGAAATACCGGGGAGAGCATATTACCTTATTTGAACAAGTTTTCTTTTATTGAGTACCAAACCATGTAATGGTAGCTTGGACTTTAATAAAAGGGAAATGAGTTTGAACTGAAATTAAGTTTGTTCTATGTGTTTGCATTGAGAAGCAAAAAATGAGATGCTATTGGGCCATTGGTTTCATAGTTTTGTTGCCTTCTTACATGCTGAGAGAATTGCTTTAATTCTCTGGAAATCATCTGACATGAAAGTCAGTTATATCACATATTTCTAAATTTTGGTCAGTCTAGGTCAGTCATCTGCACTATTAGAAACATGGATATTGTGATAAGCTTTTTGTAAATGCTGATTTTTAAATCTCTTACAGGTTGTTATAGCTACACTTCAGACTGCAAAAATAAGCCCTACCTTTTAACTTGCACATATTATGTATTTTTTTTATTTCTAAGATGGGGCAGGCAAACTGTGGTCCCTGGGCCAAATCCAGCCCACTACATATTTTGTTTTTGTTTTGTTTGTTTTTGGGGCAGCTGGCCAGTAAGGGGATCCTAACCCTTGACCTTGGTGTCATAACACAACCATCTGTTTTCGTACTGCCCACAAGCTAAGAATTATTTTTACATTTTTATTTTTTTTTAAAAGATGACCAGTAAGGGGATCTCAACCCTTGGCTTGGTGTTGTCAGCACCACGCTCAGCCAGTGAGCGAACCGGCCATCCCTATATGGGATCCGAACCCGTGGCCTTGGTGTTATCAGCACCGCACTCTCCCGAGTGAGCCACGGGCCGGCCCTTTACATTTTTAAATGTTTGAAAAATCAGTAAAAATATTCCATGACATATGAAATTTAAGTGAAACTCAGAATTTAGTGTCCATAAACAAGGTTTTATTGGAATGTAGCTATAATCATTCATTTGCATGTCTATGTCATAGCCATATCTATGGCTACTTTTTTTGCTTTCATAAAAATTGTGATAAAATATACATAGTATAAAATTTACCATCTTAACCTTTTTTTTTTTGCAGCTGGCTGGTGTGGGGGTCTGAACCCTTGACCTTGGTGTTATAACACCACAGTCTATCTTAACCATTTTTTTGGTGTGGGGAGAAGCAGCTGGCCAGTGCAGGGAATGATAAATTTCTTACTCCTATCACATGTTTCTGTGTCCCATCTTACCCTCAAACACAGACCCACTAGTCAAATTGGATTGACTCCTTTGCTGTGCTGGAGAAAGTAGGTACATCTTTTAGCTTGTTGGATTCTGGCTCTACCTAAAGAGAGTAGATGGTAATTAAGAGGATCCTTCCACAGCTTGACTTGGATGGGTGAGGCTTCTACCCTAACAGAATGGGGTCTCTAGCTTTTTCCTTCCCTTCCCTTTTTAAAAGGTAGGACTTATTTTTGCAGTCTAATGTGTAGCTGTAACAGCCCATAAAAGATTTAAAAGTCAGCGTTTTACAAAAAACTTATATCACTTATTTTGAAAATCCAAACCAATTAATAGTTTGCCACATTTGTTTATACCTAGTATATGTATGAGCATTTTTTCTCAACCATTTGGAAGTTGAGTTGCAGATGTGACGTTTCACCCCAAACACTTCAACAGATGTCTACAAATAAGGACTTTTTCTTCCTACATAACAATACTGTTATGCTTCAAAAAATTTGGCATAAAGTATACACAGTTCATATTGCTGAAGAGTCCAAGCCAGTCATGTTGTAGAATGTCCTATAATCTGCTTCTGCCTGATTGTTGCCTCATTATTAAAAGCAGTTAAACATTTTTGGCCAAAATACTACATAGATGTTGTGAAATTCCAGTGATAGCCCCTCAGGAGTTACATGATGTCAGTTTGTCCTACCAGCTGATGGAAGGCAGAATAAATGTAGCTGTAAGGTGGCAAAATGGGATTTGGATTCAGACCTGTGCTCAAATCCCAACCTACTGCATAGCAGCCGTATGACTAGATAAGTTACCTACCCTTACTGTGCTGTGGTTTTCTTACCTGAAAATGGGAGGGAGCTACCTTGCGGAATTATAATGAGAATGAAAGATTGTTAATATTGTTTTACTTGTTATTATTTTTTGGTTGTGCTTGGGAAAATGGCTTAAGCCTAGTCATTCTCTCCTAAGCTTTGCTGGCTCTCACTGCAGTTTTTCGTGTCTGTTTAACTGGGTTTCAGGGAGCTTGTCCTTCGCAGCACAAAAAGTCCACCTTCACATTTTGTAGAGGCATTGTCCAGTTTGCCATTTTCCTGCATTGGGGAAGTTTGGTTGAACACCAAAAGTGAGATGATTCTGTGCTGGGCTTGGCTCTCTATAGCTGTGGCCATGCCTCTGCATGTGCTAGCTTTCTTTCCAACATTTTAATTCTAAAAGTATCTTGTTTAGAGCAAGTGTTATGCCCTGGAAATAGATTCTGCACATTTCTTCACAAAAACTTGAGGAATAAAGAGGACAGGCTTTTGAGGCAGACAAGGATTCAACTCTAATCTCTACAACTTTGAGGCCTTAGGCAAGGCAACCCTTTGACCCTCGGTTTCTTTATACATGAAGTGGGTATGACAGTGCCACATGAGGATATTGTGAGGATTGGGAAATCTCTTCTCTAGGGGGAGGTGGCATGCATTAATGTAGGAACAAAGGTGGGGTGGATGACCTGGGAGCCCAGAAAGACCTGCAAATTCATGGGCTCCATTTGTCAGTTATCTGTGCTCTACCAATATAATGGGATAAGTTCTTTGGGCTAGAGGTCGAAACCTGGTGAGACTGGCTTCTGAGGAGGAGAGCCTCAGAGGGAAGTAGCAGGATAAAAAAGTGGTTGACATCCATCCCTTCTAACGTCTAACCCCAGATACGTGGCCTAGATGAACGGATTCAGCTCAGTGAACAGCAGAACCAGAATTCTCTACTGATGTTGGAGATTCATCTGTTTGAGGACTAAGGAAGTTTAGGGAATGGGTGGGATTCCCATGATTTGGAGCAAATGATGAAGGATGTGACTGCTCAGTGGGGGTAGAAGAGCCCAAAAGCCAGGGTGGCAGTTCTTGCTTAACGGTCAATAACCTCTCCCCAAGGACCTGCCACCTCCAACAACAAAGAAACAAGATGGGACTGAGAGATACCTTATCTGTGTCATCATTAGGTCTGCAGGACCTAGCATAGCACCTGCCATAGCATAGGAGATGAATAAAGTTTTGCTGAATGGAGGAGCTGAGGACACTCAGGCCCAGCAGGGGTGCCAGCACAGTCACTGGATTACGGTCTGCATAGCAGGGGTAAGGAAGAGGGACTTTGTGCCATGTGCTATGGCAATACTTGCCTTGGAGCCTCATCCCCTTCGAACCTAGGGTTTGTTGTTTGTTTGGGGGAGTGGGGAGTAATTTGTTTTTCTTAGGTTCCTAATGAACAAAATTTCTTAAGTGGAAAAGGGAATTGCCGACATCCAGGCCAGGGTAGTTGGTCACAGCTATCACAAGATCACAATTTCTTCTTTAATAAAATGAGTTTACACATATAATTTCTAAGACTTCTTCCAGCCCCAAGTCTATGATACTAATTAAAAACTGAGAGGAAATAGGACATTCATTCAACAGATATTTATTACTATGACCTTGTGCTAAAAACGAGGAATACAAAATGAATAAAGCAGTCTGCACTTGGAGAGTGTAAAGTCAAATAAAAGAATAAACACTAAATCCTTAGAATGCTATGTGAGGTATGTGATGATAACATTTCTTGAGTACTTACTGTATGCCAGGTGCCATTCTAAGCACTTTCACAATTCTACTGGATAGGTTCTATTATCATCCCCATTTCTCAGGTAAAGAAATTGAGACATAAAGAGGTTAACTTGCCTGAGCAAATCATCTGGCTACAGGGTCCATGTTCAATCACAAAGCAATTAACAGAACACATGTATGAGGGCTGTCAGACTTCGCTACAACTTTCTGGTGATTTTGTGACATTGAGTTTTGATCACATTTTCTTTGTCTCTTGGTGAGGGCCCCATCAGTTTAACAGCATAGCCAGGAGAAAACCACTTCTCTGGAATCCACAGGGACCTGGGTTCAAATTCCAGATTTACCACTAAACTGGTGAATCTGATCAAGTTTAAGCTTCATTTGTACAACAGGAATAACTACCCACTTCACTGCGAGGTCATGAGGATTAAACATTAAATTGAGCCATAAGAAACTGCTGTTTTTGGAGGTGAAAAACAATCTGACATCTTGGGTTGGGGGGTGCAGGGTAGGGGGGGATCTACCAAAATAATGTTTCCTTTGTGCTTATGGTTTTTCAAAAACTCCAGCCCTAAATTCTTCCTTTCCTCCTATCCTGCTTAAGGCATAGTTCTGTCTAACAGTTTGGGTGGCCCTGGGGGCTAAGAGGTTGCACACTGTTGACCTACCCAGTGGAGACCAATAAATTAGCCACGGGACAACCTCATGAGATTGAAATTTGGCAGTTCCTACCAGGATCTGGGACTTCTTTCAGCCACAGCACATCCCTTGGGGACCAGAGAAGTCAAGAGCTTTGACACAGTTCCTGCTGCACACAGCTTCGGAGTGCACTTTCACCCTCCTTTCCAGCGCCTATTTGCCTTTGTCACTGTTGGATGAGTAGCGACACTGGTTCCATTTCAAAATGTAAGGCTCGGTAGAGCATGGTGCTGGTAACACCAAGGTCAAGGGTTCGGATCCCCTTACCTGCCAGCCGCCAAAAAAAAAAAAAAATGTGGAAACAGGCCTATAGTCAGGCGTCGTCCAAGGTCTCAGGAACCGCGTAGTGTTGGAAAGAACTTGGGGTCGCGTCAGATTGATGAGCTCAGGCACTGCCTCTAGTCGTGTCACCTCCGCAAGGTCCTTGAAATTCTGGGGCCTGTTTCCTTTTCTGGAGAAGGGCACTGATATACCTCTCCTCCTCAATACTGCTTTTCTCAATCCAAAGCCTCCAGAGTCCGCTCTCAGGGAGCTCCGGCTGTGGCGAGATGACCCCCAGGAGACGCATCGGGGAGCGTGGAAGGCGCGCGCAAACCAGGGCGTAAACGGATGGCACCCGGCCGATGAACACCCGCGGCCCTCCATAAACATCAATACTTAATTTCGATTAGAGACAGAACTGAGCCTCGACATCACCAGGTTCGGATCGATTACAAGTTCCGTAGCTAGCCCCAAAAGCTGGACGGAAGCTGCCCAGCTCCCCGGAAGGGCGGAACAGTCGGGCCAACCCCGCAGCAGGCTGTGTCGGAAAGGTCCGCGCGTGGGCGGCCCGCGCCTGCGCGCCGCCATCTTGCTAGAGGATAGCCCGCCCTCGCCCGGACGTTGGCTTGTCAGCCATGGGGCCGGCCTACACCACCCGGCGGGGCGTGGCCAAGCCATGGCGACAGTAGGGCACGGTGGGCGCGCGGTGCGGGCGTCTGTCCCCGTTCCCCGGCCAGGTGGAACCCCAGACCGCACGGCAGGAGCTGCTGGGCCGCCCTTTGGGCGGAGCGGCAGCGGAGCTCTCCGGCCGGGGGAGCGCACTCCCGCGGCCGTGGAGAAGCGGGGGCCGTACACGGTGACGCGCGCACCCTCCGTTCAGGCCAAGCTGCGTGAGTGAGGCCGATGGTGGGGGGAGGGCTGCCGCGTTCTCAGGGCGGGCTCCCGAGCTCCGCTGGGCCTTGCCCCCAGAGGGAAGGGGTTAGGTGCAGCCCGCTCCCGCCCCCGGAAATCCGTCGGGAGAGAGCGGTATCCCGGCGTTGGAGACTCGGCGGAGTGGGCAAGACCCGGCTGATGGGGGCCCTTTGACTTCCAGAGAAGCACCGGGACCTGGCCAAGGCCGTTCTGCGGAGAAAAGGCATGCTGGGGGCCTCGTCGAACCGCCCAGACTCTTCAGGGAAAAGGTCTCAGCAGGCGCCACCTCTGTGCCGGCAGCTTTCCGAGAAAGCCCTAATCCTCAGGCTGGGAGACAGGGTGCCCACGTTTAAAGCAGAGCGAGTGATTCTCCTCACGGCAATCTGTCAGGTTCACTATCTTTAAAATGAGAAGAGGAACAGCCTCCTCTTTTCCTTTAAAGATGGGATAATAGGGAAAGGGCTTTGGAATAAAGGAGTTGTGTCAGTGCATAGGATCATTCACTGTCTTGAGTTTCTAAGTTAGGGAGGAGCAGGTGGCTGGAGTCTCCAGGAGTGAGGATGGAGAACAATGTGGGAAATACTAGTGCTTGTTTTTTGTTTTTTTATAACGGAACAGTAAACTCTCAGAGCTGGATAGGACCTTATCCATTGCCTCCTTTTACCGATAAGAGCTGACACCCGGAAAGGTGAAAGGATTTGCCCAAGGACTTGCAGTTTTTCTGTCCTCTGGTTAAATCAGGCAGCGGGGTGGGCTGCTTTTCCTGGTTCATGAGAGGGGAGGTGTGCTTTTTGTCAAGTGCAATGGCTGAGGGAGTACATTTTCTGAAGAGCTGTAGCCAGATAGTTGTAAGCAGTGGTGGCTGCGTGACAGGTAGAGGGGCAAGTCAGGAGTAGTGCAGTCAGTTCGTTCTCCGTAAGGGCTAGGAGAACTCTGGCTTTCCTTGTGAAATGCTGGTGCTTTCACCTATGCCTGGTCTCTCCTCCTCCATCTCCCCTCAGGTCAGTGAAGTTTAAGAAGGGCTATACTGCTCTTAGCCAGAGTCCAGATGAAAACTTGGTGTCCCTCGACTCTGACAGGTGAGTGCTGCCCTTGGAAATACTCCTTGGGGAATGACTTGGATAAAACTGCAGATTGCTTGGTGCCTTTGCTTGTTCCGTCTCCTCCAAAGCCTTTCATGCACATTCCGGGGCTTGTTCTCTTCTGAGAACTATCCCCCCAAGATGGCTTGGTTAGAAGACTCATAGGTAATCATGCTGCTGTAGGATTTGGAGCATCAGTGTTGTCCTGGGGGATCATCATGACCTATTAGGTCTGCACTGTCCCTGCTGGAGCCTATTGAAGCAATCATTTTTATTCATGGCAGATTCTGGGCTTGAGTTCTATGGTGTGTAGTCTTTGCCTCCCAAGTCCTCCAGACCCCCTTGCATGTGCTCCTCCTTGCCATTTGCAGCTGCGCTCCACAGGCCTACCCCTGAACTGACTGTGGTCCTCTTCTTCTAGTGATGGGGAGCTGGAATCCAGATACTCCTCCGGGTATTCCTCTGCAGAGGCAAGTCCAGAGCGCTTTTCTGCCTGGGGCTGGGCTGCATGCAGCATCACCGCCACTGCCAAATGCTTGTTTGGTGCCTGCTGTGTGCACAGCACTATACCAGACTTCCAGTTTGTTCTCTGATCTTCCATTCTGCCCTCTTCCCCCAGCATAGGTATAGGTGTCTAAGGAGGGCTGTTGAAAATCTGGGAGACCATATACCCTCAGGGCTGGAAATGACCTCTAAAGTCTTCCAGACTACACTTAGAAAAGGAATCCTCTTGATAGATCCAAGCTAAGTATTTAGTAGCCTCTCGAATGCTTAAAATTGGGTACTCACTGACTTCAAGAAGTCTTGCTGCCCGCCTTCCTGCCAACACGTACACGATTCCTTCTTTGGGTAGCTCTTAGAGAATTCTTCCTTGTTAATCTGAAATGTTTCTTGCAGCCAGGAACATTGGTCCTAGGCCTGCCTTCCAGTGTCACACAGTAACTCTCTCTTCTTTTGACTTTTATCTGAGTTTACAATTTCCTGTTCCTCCCCTGCCTATCCTCCACCAAGCTTGCTTTCTTCCAGGCCAAACAACTTCTGTTCCTTCAGTTATTCCATTTATGGGAACTCAGATTGAGAGACTCCTGGACTGGTCTTGTGCACAAATTTCCAGAGTGATTGTCCCAGACAGAAACACAGGGATGTAAAGTTCTGGCTTGTGCAGCTTACTCCTTTTACAGTGGTGAAATGCTGAGGTCATGGCTGTACACCACTGGTATTTCTTCCTTATTCTCCTGGAAATCCTTGGCTAGCCTCTGAGTTTCTGCCAAAGAAAATAGGGGCAGTTTGCAAATAGTGTCCTCCTTGAATATCTGAGTGTCTAAGGTTGTTTAAAACTAAGAAAAGAGAACTTAGTCAAGAATCAGAGGAAGTCCTACATTTTTCCCAGGTTCATTTATTTTCCTTCTGTTCAGTGGAACTTGTGAAGCCAGGCTGGCAGGTTCTACTTTGCAGGGACCCAGCTCTGCTGGCATCAAAGGATAACATGTCTAACCGGCAGTGCAGACCAAGCTGCTCCCCACCCCTTCCCACTGTAACCCATATTCCTCTACTGCTGTAGCCTATTGTTCTATCATTCTTCAGCCGTGATAGGGACCAGTCTGGGTTCCCAGTGGGAATGGTCAGACTTAACCTGGTCAAACATAATCAGAAACTTGATATTTATATCAGATGCCTCAGGATTCTTTTGTGAGAGCAGCTCCCCTGGGGGTCAGTGACAGTGAAGCTTGGACAATACTAGTTAGGCTCCTGGGTGCCCCTCACTGCTGGGTGAGGCACAACTAGGAAAAGGTGATACTTCCTCCTTTAGGGATGTGTGAGGTTGGCCTGGGGGTGGAGAATGGATAGGAAGCTTTGGTAAGGGAGAGTGGGCCTGTCTTTTGGGCAGCAGTTATTTCTGTTCTGCATCTTGGCTTATAGTTCCCTTCTCTTCTCTTAGCAGGTGAACCAGGATATGAGCCGGCAGCTGCTCCGAGACGGGTATCACCTGGACGAGATTCCAGATGACGAGGACTTGGACCTCATTCCCCCTAAGCCTATGGCTTCTTCAGCGTGCTCCTGTTGCTGGTGCTGTCTTGGCGAGTCTTCCTCTTGTACTCTCCAGTAGACATAACCCTCCAAGATAGGCCCTGTTCTCCATGAGGCCTACAGAGCTCTGTTGGCCCTTCATAGCTCACCAAGTAGAATGGGAACTTCTGTCAGCTTAGAAACACTGGAGGCGCTGATTCTCTGGGAAGGTCAGTGACCTGCAGGTAGCCCCTGCCTGGTGCTTCTCTAGGCCATGGGGTGATGAGTGGAATTCTGTAGCTTTCCTCTGACGTTGGAGCAAAGTTTGGAGAAGCCACTTTAATAAGGGCAGAAACGGGAATTCTGGTTCTTATGGTGGGTGACCAAAGTGGCTAAGAAAAACACTTGCAGACATCTTAACTAGTATTTGTCAAGGTGCTCTAGGGGAGAGAAAAAGCAAGCTTTTGTGCCCAGGCTGTGCTGGGTACTGTTGTATGAGGCAGAAAACAGCACTTTATGGCTTGTAGCCGGGAATCTTTGAAAAAGAATTTAACTGGGACCAGTTCAAGAAATTCCATATGCTCTCCTCCTCTTCCCAGTTCTAAGATAGGTTACAAGTTTGACCTTCAGAAGAGCATAATGCAGGTCCCTTTGTCTTTCAGGTTGCACCTCTCTAGCTATGGCAGGGAACATAGCTGGTTGCTTAATGACGCAGCAGGATCATGGCTTCCAGAATCCCTGGACATGGATCCCCAACTGATCCAACTGTCTGGGTGAATTTAGTGACTCTGGTCAGCCCTTGCCTAGTTAGAGAAAAATTGCTACATCATATACATATTTATTTATTTGTATTTCTTTGGTCTCGTTTAGTTTATCCACCCAGCCTTTGAGCTAAAGGTTGGGTCGAAGGTACCGGATCTGGCCCTAGAAACCTGCTGTTTTTGTGATTACCAGCAGAGGGAGCTTCAGGGAGCGGTCTGGTGCCTTCCTATTAATTTAGCTTTTTAAACTTTTGAGAAGTAGCAATGGGTGAGTGTAGGTGTATTGGTGCAGCTCTGTGGGCTTTGGCTTAGGCTGAGGCTCACAGGATGGGGAGGATGGACCTAAGCCAGCTGCCAGTCCCCTGCCTAAGATGAATCTGCCAGTGCAGAAGGCACCCCTCACTCCAGCATGGGCCATTCTATTGCCAGATGCTTCTGATCACAGCATGGGCCTTAGTAGATACTCAGGATTGGGCTTTACAGCAAACCTCTGGGTGCAACACAGCCTCCTGGCCCCCAGCCTGAACACAGCAGAGTCAGGCATAATTTCCTCTTTGTTCCCCCCAACCAGATAGCATCTGTTATATGAGGCCTCTTTCTAGAATTTAGTTTTTCAGTAGTCCTGGTTTTTTTGTTGTTGTTGTTGGCTTTTGGGGGGTGGGGGTCTCACCCAAGACCATGATTAGGTTTGAATGGGAATAGACAGGGTTCCCAGCCCAAGGGGCATGGTACTCAGGATTGGCCTCACATGGGAAAATGTCATGTCTTGCTTCACTCAGTGTCCTGTGGCCACTATAGGCATATGAGGGATGGTGCAGACTCTGCTCTACCACAAGAGGTGATTGGAAGACTGAGAAAGTCATAAAAAGATAAGGCCTTATTTGTTATTTGTCAGATGACAGTCCTCATGAGGGTATCCTGTTAGTGCTTGATATGGGCATCTATCTTTGTGTTTTTTTCAAACTGTGGAAGGTTGAGAGGAGTATATAGTATCTAGGATCTGTGGCTGACTTATTCTACTAGCTAGAATCACCAGAGGGAGATGGGACAGAAACCAGGGGTCTGGGGAACAGGGGAGGAAGATGGTTATTCTGTTGTGGAATGGGACTTGCAACTCTATCCAGCTGCCCAACGTTTTGAGCACTTCGTGCAAATGCATGCAGGGAACAAGAAGAACATCTTCATTCTGAACCCCTTCCCCATCCACAGAGACTGTGTCCAGGCCTTTCTGATTTCTGCAGAGGTGGCACACATGTGGAAAGGATTAGATGTAGGACTGTAAAGAAAGACAGTGGTGGTGGGGGATGCAGCGGGGGCCAGAAGGTGGCTGTGAAAGCCATGTTGTACAGCCACATTTCTATGGGGGAATTGATTAGGACAGAGTAGCCCGGGCATTTGGCAGCTGCTGGGGTGCAGGTGGCAGGACCCCAAAACCAAGGCCCTCTGTGTGGTCACTGTTATAATCAACACTGGCTGCAACTGTCCCTGTAGAGGATGTTGATTCTGTTTGGGAGGGTACCTTGCAGAAAAAGCTGCAGGGACCTGGAGCAAGGAACAGTGTAACAGTGCAACAGGACAGAAATGGTCAGTCATTTGGGGCCAGAGGCCATAGACCAAAATACCACCACTAAAGGCATCAAAGGTGCCCAGAGCCAAACTGCCTTAATTCAGTGTGCTGGGTTTTCTGCAGGTGACAGTCCCCTGGGAGAGAGGGGTATATACAGGCTTACCTCACAGATAGAGTAGCACCATATGGTGTTTACACAGTAATCTACTGAACTTTTGGCTTGCACTTCTAAGCTTTGTACATTTATAAGAATAAATGCAATCATGCTAGTGGAACTGTCTGTGTTGCAATAGGATTTTTAAGAAAGGTCTGGATATCCTGAAATGAAGAAATGCTTTAACAGCCCAACTGTGGTAATTCCTCCTGGAAACTTGTTCCTCTTTCTGCTGTTCTGGACGAGCATTCAATTCTCTTTCATCATTTTCGATTCTGTTCTGGACAGGCACCATTTTCGAGTTTGTTTCATTTTCAGTATGCTTGCAGATCATTTCTCTTTTTAGAATAGGTTCCCTTTAGCAGACCATTTCTTTCCAGCTCTTTTTTTTTTTTAAGCTAAAGAAAACTTGGAGGCCAAAAAATCCAGAACATTTTTTAAGGTTGTTTCCTAAACTCCATTTTACAGGGGGTCTAGTGTGGGCAGAAGCCCAGAAGGATTCTTTAGTATGAGTCTAAACCCTTACCCCATAGGAAGAAGCCAATGGCCTGAACCTCTGCTCACTCTGGGGTGAAAAGATGTAAGACTACAGGTCAGAAACCTCAGCAGCAACACAGCCAGCCTCTTGCAGAGGTGTGCTCCACCCTTGGAGGTGGGCACAGGTAGAGTAGATGCCCTCCGAGGTACTTCCTGCCAGTTTGGCAAAGGTGGCTGGGCTTCGCACAGCAAAAATTGAATCATTCTGTCCTAAGTCCCTGTAATCTATAATGATTGAATATATCCTAGAGAAGGAGTTGACAAACGTTTTCTGTGAAGGACCATACAGTCTGGTGCAACTATTCAACTTTGCCCTTGTAGCTTGAAAGCAGCCAGACATAATGCAAATGAATGGGCATGGCCAGAACCGGCCTGCCAGCCCCTGCTCTAGGGCCAGCTGAAAAATAGAGAAGAATCTTGCACTGAAGACTAGTGTATCCTTAAACCTACCTTCTCTCTGTAGGGCTAGAGGGCCCAAGGCTTGCCAGCAAGCTGTGCATCTGAGGCTGAAGCTGGCTTCCTCTTACTTCCCATAAAAATGTTCTGGAGTCCAGCCTGCTCATCCCGAGCAAACTGTATGAAGTAGGAATAAAGCAAAAACCAGACAACACCCAGGGAGGGCTCTTTCAGCCCCCTTCAGGGACAGGAACGCCAAAGCCTGAGTACCCCACAGCTTCAACAAATGTTATCTTTAATTGCTTTGATCCTGCAAGGGAGCATAAGCAACATTAGTCCATAGGCCTACCTTTTCCCTTTCCTTCTTGCATCTGAGGAAGTGGGCAGCCCTGGGGCAAGAACCCTGTTCTTAGAATTACTTCACCTCTTGGGCCGAGCCTGTGGCGCACTCAGTGCGGCACTGGGAGTGCAACGGTGTGCTCCCGCCGCAGGTTTGGATCCTATATAGGGATGACTGGTGCACTCACTGCGCTCACTGGCTGAGCGCGGTGCGGCCGGTCTCAAAAAGGACAAAAAAAAAAAAAGAATTGCTTCACCTCTTGCTATGATGGATGCTGAGCTAATACTGTGTCAGGTTTCTCCAGATAGCCTAATGCTGTAGGCTGGAGCAGAGCTGCTGTTTCCTGAATTGAGGAGAGCCTGGCTCAGGTCTGGGAGGAGTGGTGAGAGAATACAGGGGGTGTCAGGTGACACTACCTTCAAGCTCACTCCTCTACCCTAGCTCTTCCAGGGTATACCCAAAGAGTCCAGAACAGGGAAGGGGGTTTGGCCTAGGCCTGAGGAAGTGAGGCTGGCCAGGATTTAGGGTGACTGGGGGGAGCTGGGGAGGCTATGGCCTCTACAGCAGACAGCATGCACGGAACATCAGCAGGTCCTTAGGCACAGTAAGCTTCAGTGAGACATTCTCATTGGCCCCAATGAAGAGCACCCCGCCACGCTGCAGGGGGATTGTTGCCTGGGCTGTGGGCATGCTGGCTGTCACTGTCCCCTGTACCATCAGGAGGATGCTAGCGGAGTCCAGTGCTAAAATTTTGTACTCTGTAACAGAGCCAGGAACCTGGGCACAAAGAAACGATAGGACTTGCAGCTCAGACTCTGTTCCAGTCAGCTCACAGGCCTAGGACAACCCCCAGGGCAGTGGGGGAGAGTTCTGCCCCCTTATCCCCTACTGCTCAGGCTCTCGTCAGCATGGAGGCCCATGTCTGGTCTCTGGTAGGAGTAGGCAGGCCCTGTGGCCACCCCCGCCCCCCAACCAAGTGAGCTGGACAGAAACAAAGCCCCAGGTATGCTCCACATTGTGACCGTCACCAGGGTTTTTCATGCTACACAAGAGACACTTCTCAAAGCCCCCACTCACCTCCATCTTCATAATGGTGAAGTCTGGCACAGGGGGGTCATAGATGAAGAGGTAGGGGTCTTCCTGACTCTGCGTCGGGAGAAAGAGCCTGTGCTTGCTGGGGGTATAGCTGAGCATTTCACACAGGGTTGGCACATCAATGAACTTGGGTGTCAGGCCAGCACGCACTGTGTTGTCTGAACACGCCATGCACTCCACACAGTCTGTGGACAGACAATTAGCATGTGCTAAGCTGATGAAATACACCTTGGAGTTTCACTCTCCAAACTTGGCCTCCTAACCTGAGCTCCATGAATCCATGCAGAGTTGGGCAAAAATGTTGTATGAATAGTAGTAGTCTCTGGGAGAATGGGGCTAAGATCTCAAATACCAAAAACTGGTTACAGGTCACCCAGTCGTCAGGGGGAGTCACATTAATCCCTGGGGGAGCCCCACCCCTCCCTGACTCTAGACACACTTCTACAACAGGATCCTGTGCATGAGTGGATAAGCCGCCCGCAGTCAAAACGGGACATCCTTCTGTGGCAACATGCTTATTTTAATGTAAAAATCTCTGGGTTGATAGCACAGATATGCAAAGGCTGAGCAGAAAGGGAAAGAACAGCAGCCTTGATCCTATAGTCTGGGTTCAAACTGTGGTTGCCACACTTACTGACAGGGCTTAACATCAGAGTGTCATGACCTCACAGTGCTGGTGGGAAGATTCAAGGAGTGTGCAACACCAAATGGGCATTCTTTATTCCTACTGGCTGTTTCCCTGCTAAGCCCAGGAAACCTCAGAGGTAGAGCTGGATGGTCCTTAGAGAGGGTCTCCTCGTCCACCCTCTCTCTTTTGTCCAGATGGGGAAACAAGGCCCAAGGAGGATGGTTGTGGGCTCACTGCTGAAATGTGGCTTACCTCCCTTCAGGTAGGCATGGGGCACGTTGGCCTCCAGAAACATGGCCTCCCCCGGCTTCAGGTTAAGCAGGTTCAGAAAGTAGATGGCAAAGCAGCCGATATCCCCTGGGTATTGCTGGTGCAGCTGCAGCAAGAGCTCCCCACAGATGTCCTCCATGTTGTTTCCAGCAGCCACTGAGGGTCACAGAGCACCCCAAGGCAACTTAGGGACAGTCAGAGGTATGCACAGCCCCACCTTGGCCAGGGAGTGCTGGGGAAGAGTCCCTGCCCACAGGAATCCAGAAGCTGTGGTAGACCTATCCTCCCCACCATACCCCCAGGCCTTTGGGGTCCAGCCTTCCTTGATACTCCACCCCACACAGATGCCATCTTCTACCACATCTTGACTGTTCACATGCCACTAAAAGGGCAAGAGTTTGGTCCTTTCAGGACAGGATTTCTCAGCCTCAGCACTATTGGCATTTTGGGCCAGGTAATTCTTTGTTGTGGGAACTGTCCTGTGTACTGCTGGATGTTTAGCAGCATCCTTGGCCTTCACCCACAAGATACCACTAGCAGCCCCCAACCCAGGTTTTGACAGTCAAGTATGTCCACAGGCAATTGCCAAATGCCCCCTGGTTGAGAACCACTGCTCTTAGAGCTCAAAATCTAGTTAGGGAGATAACCCAAAAGAGTTCCATGAAAGGTAATCACTGTGTCCATTAGCCCAGGACTTACCCTTTTTTAGCATCGAAAGTTATGTGCCTCAGGAAATCTCTCAGCCCTAGGCAAACCAGGATGGTTGGTCACCACAGATAGCATGAGGCAGAATAAGCCAAGTGCCAAAATGTGTCCTGGAGACTGACCAGGAGAATATGAGCTCAGCCTGGGCTAGAGCAGCAAGGGCAGGCTTCTTGGAAGGGGGGCAGGGGCAGGGTAAGCTGGACTTCCTTGAGTGTGCAGAGAAGGGGGGATGGGATTTGTTAAGTAAGAGAGGGTGTAAGCGCCACAAAGAAACCAGCTGGTCTGGGTTGGAGGGGGGCTCTGAGTCTACAGAGACTTACTGAATACTTATTCTGCTAAGCACTGGGACACACAAAGGTCAAAGAGGTCTCTGGCCTGGAGAAAATCCCCGTTCTAACAAGTGGGCACATGATGGCACACAGTCACAAGTGCTAAGAAAGGGCTATCTATACCTAGATGTATGAACAGACTGTTATTGGAACTCGGGGGAGGAATAATCAGTTTTGCTGTGAGTGTAAGAAGTCCTAAAGGGAGAGGCATGCAGCAGACAAAACACCAAAGAATAACCCCACCAAAATAGGATATGCTTGCGTAAAACAAATAGCGCCTTGTGGCTCAAAGATAGCAGGGGAAATGTGTAGAGGTAAAACCAGAAGAGAGCTCTGTGGCCACCTGTAGAAGGGGCCTGGGCTGCCAGGCTAAGGAGCTGAGACACCATTGCCTGTGTCACATAAGCTGAGAGTCCATTCCACCTTGTGTTTCTCACTGCTTGTGCAGACTCCTCAATCCAAACATGACATGACCACACCCATCACAGGCATTTTCTGAACTCTCCTTAGGACAAGGTCGTTGGGCACAAAATAGGTATTTAAGGAAAGATCTAATGATTGAGAACTTCAAACATCAGGACTTGGGAGGAGAGGGAGGGTCCTCTTGTCCCCTTCCTACTCTCTAGCCTCCAAAAACAAGTCCACCCATGGGCAGCAAATACAGGGCTGTGGGGAATCTCAGAATGCCTAGGTGGAAGGCATCCTAAGAGTCTTCTAGGCCAGTCTGCCTCCAACCATCTACAGAAAACAAGCAGTGAGGAAGCAGCTCTCAACCTAGGGCCCTGCTCCACAAAGACTGGAAGGAAATGCTGAGTCTCCAACAAGACATCTAAGTTGGGCCCCTTTTAGTGTCCCACTTGGGCAAAGAGATTGAGAATCCTGTCCCCACAGCCTTGTGTCTGTGCCAGGGAACCCAAGCCGGGGCCTTGCATGCACCCAGGCCTATACCCATGCCCACCTTGCTGAGAGATCCGCTTCACCAACAGGTTGAGCTGCTCCACCACCACCTTCTTCTCGCTCTTCATCAGGTTGGAGAAACAGCTCTGCAGAGCAGAGGCCATAGCCTGGGAGTCACAGCTCATGCTCTGTTTTAGTTGTGTTGCTGCACTATCTCCAATCAGAAACTGGAACTCGGGCACCTCTGCAGGAAGGCCAGACCCAGGGCCCATATCAGGAATGGTAAGATGGAACCCATGGAAGTGGGGAGTTAGAGGAGGCCTCCCCATCCCATCCCTAACCAGGAGCCAGATGACACTAAGCCAACATTGCAGTGAAAACCAACTGCTTGGGGCTGGCCCATGGCTCACTCAGGAGAGTGCGGTGCTGATAACACCTAGGCCACGGGTTCGGATCCCATATAGGGATGGCTGGTTAGCTCACTGGCTGAGCGTGGTGCTGACAACAACAAGCCAAAGATTAAGATCCCCTTACCGGTCATCTTTTAAAAGAAAAAAAAAAAAAAGAAAACCAACTGCTCACCACCAGCGCTCAGCAACCACACCTGTGCCTGGTATCACTGGCCTGGCCCACTGACTCCAAAAACTGCTTCATGAGGCCAACCAGCCACTCAGTTCCTGTGAATTTCAGCCTCTGTTCTCTGCTACTGTTTCCACTCTGGCCTGGGTTCCCCACACATCCCAGTCCCAAAACTCATGCCCTCAGCATTCTGCCCAACCTTACTCTTCAGAAAGGTTACAATCTCTTCAACAGGCCGGAAGCCACACAAGCCCTGGAAAGGTGTGATGGCTATGGCCATCTCTGGCTTATGGTTGGCATCAGGGTAATGCTGCGGAGCCTGAAGGTGCAGCTTCTCTGCCAGCTCCTGTGGGGTGGCCAGAGGAAGAGGAGGATGGTCAGGGCGTAGCCATCACCTAGCAGGAACAACAGTCCCACCCAGTCCCTGCTCTCTACCTTACCCAGTTGCCAGTGGCTTCAAACCTCTGGCCAGGAGCCTGGTCAAGGCATAATGTAGAGTTGGGGTCAGCCAACCCAGAGCAGGGGAATGGGCCAAATCTGGGGGAGAGCTAGAGCAGACTTAAGAAGTCTGGCCTTGGGCCGGCCCGGTGGCGCACTGCGCTAGTGCGCCGCTTGGGAAGTGCGGCGGCGCTCCCGCCGAGGGTTCGGATCCCACATACAGACCGGTTCCCGCTCACTGGCTGAGCGAGGCGCGGGGGCAACGCCGAGGGTTGCGATCCCGTTGCCGGTCCCGGTCCGGTACGGGGGCGACACTGAGGGTTGCGATCCGTTGCCGGACACGGAAAAAGACAAAAAAAAAAAAAAAAAGAAATCTGGCCTGGGGGCCGGCCTGTGGCTCACTCGGTAGAGTGCGGTGCTGGTAGCACCAAGGCCACGGGTTCGGATCCCATATAGGGATGGCCGGTTAGCTCACTGGTTGAGCGTGGTGCTGACAACACCAAGTCAAGGGTTGAGATCCCCTTACCGGTCATTTTTTTAAAAAAAAAAAAAAAAAAAAGAAGTCTGGCCTATAAATCAGGAAACCCAAATGCCAGGCCAAGCTCTGACACTAACAAGCTGTGTGACTTTGGGTAAATCCCTCCCTATTCTAGGCCTTACTTTGCCTATCTAGAAATGAAGAGTTTGTACAGGCAGTTGCTTTATCTGGGACTCAGGGGCTTGTGCAAGAAGACTCCAAGGGGGTGGAGCTCAGGCAGCAGCTAGGGTACCTGCTCTATCCTGGCAGTTGAACTCTCCCAGAGAGCCAGGTGTGAAAATGGCAATCTGAATAGACCTGGGCTAGGGGAGGAGAGACCAGTAACAAGACCCCAGTTATGAGTTTGGAGAAGCTCCCCTGCCAAAGACTGGTCGGCTGTCCCTTTAGACTTAGCTGCTGCATGTGTCAGCATCTGGCTTTGCAGAGCTAAATTGGGAATTGTCAGACCTGGATTTAGCTCTGGGCTAGAGCCTGGCACAGGCAGGATAAAAGCAGTAGTAAAAGTTGTGGGAGGGCCTAGACATAAGCCCTTCTCTACCCTAACTTCTGTACCCCACTCTGATCCAGTACCTTGTTAGGGTGTGCCTGGATGGACAGGGCTGTTTCAACAGAGAGCACTTTGAAGAGGAAGGGCAGGTTGCCATTAAAGGTGTCCTTGACCTTTGAGCCCAAGCAGTCCTGGTTCTCAGCAATCCACTGGCCTAGGGTTGTCTGAGGGATGCGGTTGTCAAGGATTTTGGCATCTCCCCGGGGGTGCGTTCCCATCCACAGCTGGAAAGACAGGAAACGTAGAAGGGAAGGGGTAAGATCCTGACACCACTAGTAGGCCTGCCCTGGTCCGTTTTGCTGTGCTCCCCTGGATAGGCTCCCCATGTCTGGGTACAAATGCTTATGCCATCACAGACATACAGGGTGCCAGCAGACCCCAGAACACCCAGGCCCCCATCCAGGCTCTGCCTCTAACCAGCTGTGGTGCCTTGAGCTAGTTATTTCCCTTCCCTGGGTGTCAGTGTCTTCGTCTGTCAGTTTCCTTATCAATCCAATGACATCTGCATTGTCCGGGTCACTGAAAAGCCATGACTCTCAAATGGCTCTGTGAAGGGTTAATATTCACTTATTCCAGTCTTGGAAGCAGAGGCTAAAGCCTTCCTATCCTTTGGCTTTTTCTCTAGTAAATAGGCAGGAGAAATAATATTCTAGATTAATAAAAATGCAAAAAAAAAAAAAAAGTAAAAGTAAAAAAAATTAATGGTCGGCTAAGTGCTGAGAGTCGTTGGGGGAAGGAGGGTACTGGGAATCCCAGTCTATTATGACAAAACTTCTTTTATTAGCCACCATCTGATCCATCAGCCTACACTGATCTGAACAGCCAGGAGGGCCTCCTTCCTCTTTGCCGCCCCAGCTCTTGCCAGCTGACCCATAACTTGCCTCGGGCCCTTTGGTCTCACTTGAGGGTCTCACCTCTGCATAGGGCTTGTCCTCTGAAATCTGGGCCAATGGGTCAGTGCTGGCCAGCAGCTGCGCCACTTCGCTGTTGGAACCCATCTTCCCCCAGGCATACTGCTGCACCACACAGGAAAGTGGGAATACTAGGGACACAGACAGAGGGTCAGCTTCCTCTCCACTCCTCAGGCCAGAAACCAGGCAAGAGCTGGGAGTTCAGACTGGAGACAGTCAAAAGGTTTGTAGGTTGTTGGGTGAGACCCCTGTCCCCTACAGGTCTCGATGTTACCATCTGTAAGATGGGCAGTAAGGATCTTGTGCTGACGTGGGGCAGAGAGCGGCGCTGAGGTGACGGGGAGGGAGCAAGAGATACCCATCCCAGGGCACTCGGTCTCGAAGTGACCCAAGCGCAGTCAGGGAGAACGGAGCCCCCTCCCCTCGAGGGTTGCAATCCCCATCGCAAGTGCCCCTCCTCTGCCCGCCGCCCACCCATCTTAACGCGGAGCCCCGGGGTGGTCTCGACCTGGCAGATCATGCCGGGATTAGTCGCCAGGACGCGACCCAGCAGCACGCTGGCTGACCCATCGGCCAACAGCTCACCTCGCTGAGCGGCCATTCTTGCCGAACCGGACCTGGCTTCTCACACGTATGCCCTTCCCGGCAGCACCCGCGGCCCTCTGTGCCCAGAGCCTCACGGGAAATGTAGTTTCTCGAGCTCCGAGCGCACCCTCGGGGTACCTGGCCAGACACTCCGAACCCCTCTCCCAGCCTCTGCTCAGCCGGAGGACCCCCCGACCAGCCAGAGGCTGTCGGCCTGCAGTCTTGGGTCTCGGTATTCATTCATTCATTCCTTCATTCCTTCACCGGGCACTTATGTATTGAAAACCTGCTAAGTACCGCGGAATTTTCTGAGGCTGGAGGATACATCAGAGAACAGGGAAACGGTTCCTCTGCCTTCGTAGAGCGTACATTCTGGTGAAGGGAAGACAAACAAGTATAATAAGTAAACCAGAGCGCGTGCTCCCGAAAATCTTGGTGCGACGTCCCCTTTCCAGCCGCTTGTAGACGCTCCGCTGCAAGCGCCTGAGGTAGCTTGGAGAGGTTGAGCATCCCTAATCCCAAAATCTGAAATCCAAAATGCTCCAATATCCAAAATTTTTTGAACGCCGCCGTGATGCCACAAGTGGAAAATTTCACACCGGACCTCTTTTGATGGGTCGCAGTCAAAACGCAGGTGCACAGCAGTTCATTCAGCATCCCCAAGGGAAAAAATATTCTCCCAGCCCCATTTAGCTATGATGCATCTTCACCACGCATGCTTAGATTCCTCCATTCAAGCGTGCCCACAAAGGGTAATAAAATGGCATATGTGACGGCCGGACACGCCTACAGCAGTTTCCCCATGATGACCCACTTGGGACCAAGACCTAAGTGCAGTACTCGTTGTGTTCTTTTGCTTATTCTCTGCTCTGTGGTGTAAAGATATTGTTGAAAATGTCAAAAAGGCCAGCAGATATTCCTGTGGATAACAGTGATAAGAAAAAGAGGAATCGTTTATGTTTATCTATAGCATGGAAAGTCAAACTGTTGAAGAAACTGGACAGAGGCATAAAAGTGAAACATCTTACAGAAAAGTATAGTATTCGAATAACCACCATATATGACTTGAAGAAACAGAGGATAAACTTTTGAATTTCTGTGCTGAAAGTGATGAACAGAAGTTAACGAAAAATAGTAAAATACTGCATAAAGCTAAAAATGAAGATCTTGATTGTGTATTGAGAGTGGATCCGTCAGCATAGCAGTGAACACATGCCGCTTAATGGTATGCTGACCACAAAACAAGCAAAGATCTATCACGATGAACTAAAAGTTGAAGGGAACTGTGAATACTCAACAGGCTGGTTGCAGAAATTTAAGAAAAGACATGGCATTAAATTTTTAAAGATGGATGGTGATAAATCATCTGGTGATCACAAAGTAGGAGAAAAATTCATTGACAAGTTCAGTGATGATGACTGTAGGTTTCTGTATGTCAAATGAGAAAAAAATGATATCTGAGCTCCTTACATGTGCAAAAAATATCCATTCAGAGTCCATCAAGTAAGCTAGAAGAAGTAGACATCAAAGAAGTTTTTAACATCAATAATGAGGCTCCAGTTGTTCTTTCACTGATTGATGATGAATTAGCCAAAGTGGTTCTGAATCAAGGTGATTGTGATAATAGTGACAATGAAAATGACACTGTTAAAACTACAGAAAAAGTGCCTATAGACAACGTGGTGAAAACGTGTGATGGGCTTATTGAAGGACTAGAGCAGCATTCATTCATAACTGAACAAGAAATCACGTCAATTTATAAAATCGAAGAGAGACTTCTAAGGCAAACACCATTGTTAATGAGGCAGGTGACTCTGGACAAGACATTTAAAAAAGCCATCTAGCAGAATGTCTCTTCATACCTAGAGGACCCACTTTCTGGTCCCTCAACTATTTTTGATATTTCTTCTCACCTTAAAAAAAAATACTGAATACAGTAACCTTTTAATCAAAACACAGCCTTGTAGGTTGAAACTAAAAGCCTGCTGTTGTTTAACAGCAGGTATTCTGGTGATGCTGCCGTGCTGCCGAGTTACCTTGAACACATTTTTTTTAACTTTAAAATAATAGTAATAAGTAAATCATGTAATATGCTGGAAGGTAATAAAGGCTACAAAAAGTAAGAGGGCAGGTGGGAGTGGGAGGCAGTTTGCAGAATTTAAAAGATTGACTGAGTAAGCCTCATTGAGAAGGTAAGATCTGAGTACAGACTTAGAGGTGAGGAGGGAAGAGTGTTCCCGGCAGAGAAAACAGCTAGAGCAAAGGGCCTAAGGTGGGAACATGGAAATGTGCCTGTCATGTTCAGGAGTGAATAGCAAAGAGGCCAGTGAGGATGGAGCAGAGTGAGCAGGACAGAGGGGAAGTGAGGAGGTCAGAGGAAAGGCAACAGGCAGAGTTATTTAGGCTACTGTGAGGACTTCAAGTTCTACTCTGAGCATTTGTCCCAATGTCTAAGCCATTAGAGGGTTTGAGCAAGGAATTGCTGTGATGTGTTAGAGACTTACCAATGCTTGATGGGGATGGCAAATGTCACATGCAAGGCTCTAACCTCTCAGAGCTTTGGTTTCTTCCTCTGTAGAGTGTGGATAACAATGCCAGCCTGACAGGCTTGTTGGAGGCTCAGATGGGTAAGGGGCTGTTGAAATGTAAAGCAGCTTCTAAGGGGCTGTTAAGCAGCAGGGGGCCCAAGTACACTAAACATTCCAAGAAGGGGTGGCCCCCACCCGGTTCCAGGGACGGGCTGGTTCCTTATCTAAAAGCCTCCTTGCCAGGCGCCAAGGAAGATATATGATTGAAAGAAGCGCCGTTATCGGGGGTACCAGCCTACTAAAGCCCACCTGTAAATCTAAAGGTGCCACAGATCTACCGGGGTACCAGCCTGCTAGAGTCTGCCCATAAATCCAAGGGTGCCACAGGTAACCGACAACTCATCCTATCATCAAGATCTGTTCAGGAAAAACTGTATAAAAAGTTCTTGTGTTGTAAACTGGAGGTGGCTTTTCCAAAAGGCAAAGCGCCCCAGCATACTGGAAAAATAAAATTCCTCTTGCTGATTGCAACGGTCCTGGTCTTGTGGTCTTTGTGAGGCGAGCCACTCTGGCATGTAGGATTTGTGCTTGGTGCACGGGTCTTACAGTGGGAAGGCTAGTCCTACACCATGAAGATCTTGCTTTAGCAGGTTCCCCCTGACAGGGGATTCATGAGAGTGATGGGATTCATTCCCACACCGTACAGTATCTGGAAGTCTGGAAGCCACTAAAATTCTACCTTTCTCTGATTTTCTGAGCCTTCTGCTATTTGGTTGGATTGTATCTGCTACTGTGTATGTCCACCCTGGAGGGCTCCTGGCTATGCTTTGTTTCTCTGACTAAAATCTGGGTGGTACCTTTCTTCTTTTTGCTGACAACAGTGTGGAGAACTGCTTTTATCAATTACTGTGTCAGGGTAAGAGGTTGGCCCTGACAATTGGGACCAGGATAAAGTGGACTCCACTGTTCCCCTTTTCTCTTTGTTTACTTGGTTAGACATTTAGTTGAGTACTGGTAATCTGAATAAACCTTCCAATCCTTGTGTTGGGAAAATAGAATAATCAGGTCCCCTCGCCTTAGGTCTGGTTGGGGGTGGTGCTGCACATTCTTTGTAAATAAGTTGCATGTGGATGCAGTTAGAACACATGTGCAGTGCCACCACCTGGCTGGAATTGACTGCCTCAGGCATCTCGAACCTACGGCTCCAAGGGCCTTTTTGGCTGGGTACCTAGCTCATAGACCTGCATGTGAGGGGTCTAGTGACCCAGCTTGGCATGTGAGGGGTCTGGGGACCCAGCCTGGTGTGTGAAGTGTTTTTGACCCACTCTGGACAACAGGCTTGAGGGGTCTGTGAGCTCTAGACCCAACCCTAGCTCGACAATTGACCCAGTCGGCAGGATTATGGGCAGGTAAAAGAGCTCAACAATTGGTGATATTGGCAGGATTCCGACATTAGCTTTAGCTAGACATCTTGCACCAACTTTTGGACTTTCAAGTCATTTGTTTAGTGTGAGAGGGTAAGCTGAGCCTGCTCTGCCAGTAACAGTAGCTCTACCCCCCCCCCCCACACACACACAAGAATGGATTGTTTGGGCATGGGGTTCTTGGAGCACCTCCCACTACTACCAACACAGAAACCAGACTTAGAATCATAGAGTTAGACTGATGGGACAGACAGAGCCCCCACCCCATGCAACCCGCCCCCCACACAAACACACAGAAAAATGTGCGTGTAAGGGAAACTAGGGTGTTTGGAGAACCTGGAACCTTTCATCCTTCCTTCTTGCTGGTCCAACTCTAGAAGAACTGATCACACTCTTTTATCTGGTGATGACCTGCTTTCCTCTCTCCCCTTCTAGATTAGCTAGTCTAATTCAGCTTCACATTTCTGCCGGTGCCTGGCTGAGGGTTCAAGTTACAAAGGCAGCTAACTTTTATTGTTTGTAACACACTGGGTACTACACTAAGCCCTTTCCAAGAATTCTCTCACTTCATTCTTGTGATATTATGAACTTCTATATATGCTGTACATGGTTTCCTCCCAGTTTCCTGGAACACAACTCCTAAAACCCTTGGAATCTCTTAAGTAATAAGTGCCTTTTTGTATGCTAATATGATTGGTGGCTGGGGGCTCCTGAATAGCGTCAGGATGGGGTCTGGTTGCCAGGGGAACCAATCAAATAGCTAGAGGTTTGGAACTTTCAGCCCCGACCTTCTAACCTCTGGGGAAGGAAGAAGAGCTGAGAGTTACGTTGTTCGCCAGTGGTCAATGATGTAATCTATCATGCCTACATAATGAAACCTCCATATAAACCTAAAAAAAAAAAAGGCTACATTCGGGGAGCTTCCAGATAGCTGAACACATGGAGGTTCCTGGAGGTGGTGGTCCAGAGAGGGCACAAAAGTTTCTTGCCCCTTGCTATGTACCTTACCCTGTAAGTCTTTTCCATTTGGCTGTTCATCTGAATCCTTTGTAGTATCCTTGTTGGAGTGAGCAGGACTGAAGCTGTG